TCCCATAACGCCTTTCTTAAACCACTTCCCCCATAACTCCACACTTTATTTCCTATCTCGTCCTCTTCCGCCGCTTTACCTTTTTTTAGCTCTTTCAGCACTCTCTCTACTTCCTCCCATCCTATCTCCTTTTCTTTCTCCACTTCCCCCTCCGACCCTGCTCTCTCTCCTCTCCTTCTCCTAGCCTTTGCTTGTATTCCGTTCCTTCTAAAATCTCCCTAAAATATTTATCCCACTCCTCTAATGTTATCTCCTTATTAATTTCTACCCTTCTTCTCCTTTCCTTGTTTATTACTTCCCACACCTGCTTCTCTGTTCTCGCCTCTTTTGCCTCTTTCAGCAGATTTCTCTTTTTTCTTCCTTTTTTCTCACACATTTCCTTATACTCCTTTCTTCTCTTATGATCTTCTTTGTGTTTTCTTCCTCTTTTCCAGTCTCTCAATAATTTTTCTATCTCCTCCCTCTTCTTCCTACAGTCCCCATCCCACCATACTCCTTTTTCTTCTGCCCCTCTTTTTACTCTTCTCACCCTTACTTCCATATCTTAATTTTTTTTGTCAACTTTTCGACCTCTTTATCTATTGCCCCCTACCTATTTCTACCTCCTCCGTCCTTCTTCAAAACTCCTTTCTTGCCTCTTCCGACTAATCCGTCTTTTCCACCCACCTCTCTCCCTCCGCTATTGTCCCTCTTCTCTCACCACCACTCCCTTTGTTCAACCGTACTGCTACTGATTGGTGATCCGAATCTACCTCACACTCCACCTGTAATCTTGTCACTATTTCCCAAGTTTTTCTATCTCCTATTGCGTAATTGATCACTATTTCCCCCCTTCCTCCTGTAAAAGTCGCCTCCCCCTTCTCACCTCCCTCCTTTGCTCCAATCATAATTTCCCACCCTTCCTCTTCCACCCATCTAATCAGCCCTTCCTCCTACCTATTTATCATTTTATCTTTCGATTTTCTTTCAGCTCCCTCTTCTCCATCCTCCAGCGCTCCTTTCTCCCCTGTTCTCGCAATGAAATCGCCTTCACTATCCATCTCTCCTCTCTCCCTTCCTCCTCTTTTACCGATTTTATCTTACCCACCATCTTGTCCAAGTTGCGCTTACGTAAACTGTTGCCAATCTCCATTTCTCTTTCTTCCATCTTACTTCTCTAATCATTAAACCCTCCTCCTCCACCCATTCTTCGTCCTTTTTTAACCCTTCTCTGACTTCCATCATTATTCCACCTATTGCTTTTCCTTTTCTTCCAACTCTTTCTTTCTTTGCACCCTGTATACTCCAGAACTTTTTTGGCACCCTATTCTTCATCTTCTCCCATTCCTCTCGTTCCAGCCACGTCTCCATCAACCCCGACATTCCACTCTTTTATCCTTTCCCAAAACTCTTCCTGTTTTTCCTTCACTCCCGCTACATTCCAAAAATTTATCTTTAGGCTTCCTTTCTGTTCCTTCCTTTTTTTCCTCCCTCTTTAATTCTTTTCTTCCCCCTTCTCTTTTTCTCACCTCTTTTTCCTCTCTTTCACTCCTTTTTACTTTCCCCACTTTACTCTCTCTGACTCCTTTCCCCCCTCCCCTCAGCCTCACCACACTCCCTTTTTTCCTACTCTCCCTCTCCTCTCTTTTCTCTCCACTCTACCCTCCCATCGTTTTTCCTCTCTTCTCATTATCCTCCCTTTTCATTTTTTTGTCTCCCTCTTTTCTACTCTTTCCCTCTTCTTCTGTTCCTTTTTCTTCCCCCCCTCCTTCTTCTTGTTCCTCTTTCTCATTTTCCCGTCCATCTGTCAGGACTTCTTTTTCTTCATCCCAACTCCACCACTTCCCCTCTATCCAAATTTTTCCGTACTTTACCCAAGCTCTCCTTCTATTCTTTCTCTCCTTCTCAGTTATCCTCTCCAGGCTCCATTACATTTTTCTTTCCTTCAAGGTCATGTCATCCTCTATTCTTTCCATCCTCCCTTTCCACACATTCTTTCTCTGCGTTACCTCTCTTTTTCTTACTCTATCTTTTAACCTAACTAAAACAATCTTCTTTTCTTTCCCCGTTTTTCTTCCTACCTCTTTTACCTCTTCTATTCCTCTCTCATCTAGCCTTATCTCTAGCCATAGCTTCTTTACCGCTTCCTTTAGCCTTCCCTTCACCAACTCCACCCTTTTCACTACTACATTGTTCCTCCTTCTGTCTCTCTCTTCTAACTCTCTCCACCTTTCTAGCTCTCTTACCTTCGCTTCCATTGCTTTATCTCTTCTTCCCCCTTATCTCCCACTTTTCTTCCTCTTTCATTTCTCCCTGCCCTTCCTTTCTCTCATCTCTCCATCTCTTAATTAATATATTTAAATTTATATATTAGTTAACTTCTTTATATACACTACCGCTCATTAATTTCAATATACCCCTATATTTGTTAATTTCTCTGTAAAGAATGAACATGATACATATATTTTGTACAGAAATGAATAGATTTGCTGTTATACGCTTGCATGCATTGTATTTTTATATATTATTTATATAAAAATGCGATGCATGCAAGTGAAATGTTTATAACAGCTAGTGCATTCATTTCTGTGCAAAACACGTATCATGATGTTCATCCTTTACAGAGAAATCAACGAATCTTTTGCATATTGAAATTATTGAGTGGTAGTGTATATAAAGAAGTTAACTAATATATAAATTTAAATATATTTGCAATATATAATAAATATTTTTGTAATATATAATATTTTTCTCTATTGTTCCTTTTCTTGTCCTTCTTTCTTCGTTTTCTATCTCTATTACTTTCTTTCGTCTTAAAATACATTTTACTTTTTTATAAACAACTTAAGGTATCGATACAATAAATAATACTATAAAAGCTACATTTGGATGGAACGGTAATAATTTACACATCCTATTATACCTCTATAATTATGTTAAAATCATAATAGCGTAATGAAAACGATTCATAGGAATAAATGTGATAGTATTTATGAAATAAAATTAAGTATGAAATATACATTTAAGAAATATTACTTTAATGATTATATTATCTTACGTGTTATCAACATTCCATACAGGCAAAGCAAATAGATACTATGATATACAGGATACCTTTAAACAATTGTTTCATTTTCTAACATTTTTCAGATTTATTGTAATATAATTGTATAATCGTCATATTTATTTACAGGAATACTAACGCAAAATTATTAGGACATTGTCACTACTAAAATTAAAAAATCAGATGAAGGGTTAGGTAATGTACATATTTTTAATTCACATATCTCTCATTTACTACCGATCATCATTTCACAATGATACATTTGCAACGAAATACCCAAAACGTATATATGTAATCTAAACACAAGTTTTTATATTCTGGAAACGATACAAGTGTCTTAAAATACTTTTTACTTGTTTCTAAGCAGCATAAAATATCGATACTATCCAAATAGTATAAAAGCTACATTTGGATGGAACGATAACAATTTAGACACCCTACCTCTATAATTATGTTAAAATCGTCAGATATACTGTAATATAATCGTCATATTTTTTTACACAGATATACTAACGCAAATTATTCGGACATTTTCACTAAAAAATTAGATAAAGATAGTTTGTAATCAAACAAAGATACTGTTTAGTTAATGTACACATCTTTTTAATTCACATATCTTTCATTTACTACCGATCATCATTTCATAATGATGCATTTGCAACGAAATAGATATGTCAGCAACATTCGAAACCATCGACTGGAAAAATCATTCCTCTTGGTCTATTCGTTGTGACGGATAAAATCGTATAATTTCAGCACTCAGCAATGGATTCACTTCAATTGATGCGATTTTAAGACAGAGCTCAATTCAAAGAATCTTCGTTGTTACTAAATATGTTTACAAGGCCTGTGAATAGCGCTAATTTCCCTGCCATGCGCATATCTTTCTTTTTCGTGGCTGTATCCTGATTAGGCATCATCTTGTCCGCAATATGCTTATAGACTTTTCCATTCAGCATTAACGTAAAAAATAAAAAAGCCGTCGTACCATCTGAAATCGTTATATATAATTGTCTCGGTATTATAATCAATTTTATAATAAGTGTTTCCTCTCCGATAAACAAAATTAATTTTAGGAAATCTAAATTATTTTATCTTTTTCTGAAGGTAGAATACAAAACAAAACTAAAAATCAAGTTCTTTTCAAATAATAGACAACTTGAATTAATTATATAATTAATGTTTATAAGAACAATTTTATATTACTTTTAAAAGGAATGTTTAGAACACTGATTACACTTACATTTCCTGGTTAGCGCTTATTTTATGACATGTTGTATTTTACAAATTTTACTTCCAAAACACAGAAAATACCTTCCAGCCTGTGATGACACCACGTATACGCCAACGAACCTGCACGGTATCGTTTTCAGAATGCATTGTGTAGGATGTCTTTAGGATGTCAAGCTTGACGTGTGCAAACTTCATATGACCAATGAACCTTAACAGTAGAAACCTTTGTCGTAGAAACCTTTCTTCGGATCAAACACGAGACCTTCAGCATACCCCGCAGCTTTCCTACGCGGGCCATCTAACATATATCTAACATTAGCACACCCAGTACACATAATAATTTCGTAATATAAAAACAATATATAAAAATATATTGAGATCTCACCATCGCCTCGCCCCTTCTTTTCAATTTTCTTATCCAGCGTTATGTAATCTTTCAAATTTAAAAGCATGTAACAACAGATATTGTTTCTCTCCGCTCTTCCGCCTAATAGCATCCTTGATAAAATGTTACCTATATTCATTCAATTCACAAAATTTAATTATAATTGCATTATTATATTTTATAAGTAAATTGAGAAATATAATAAAATGTACCTGCTAAACAAATAATTTGAAGCGCGAGCGATATAACATTGAGATCCATCACTATAGTCATAATGTATTTTGCTTCTTTTAACGTCACATGCATTAGATTTAGCATTTTGTCCGCTGTATTGAAGAACGATGGAGTTTCTGCTGGCGTGATCTCTTTACATTCGTGTTCCTTCGTCTTTAATATCTAAATATTTGTCAAAATTAAGTTGTTATGAACCCATCCATATTGAAGTCGGTTAAAAATAAATTATATTTAATTTTTTACCATAAAATTAAATTTTACACGTGACTGTTATGTCACATAGCAATTGATATATAAATCTATTTTAAAAAATGCAAAAAACAATTAAAATTTAAAAAATTGCTCAAAAACTGAAAGAAAGATAGAACTGACTTCAAAAGAACTGTAAAAAATAAGAAAGAATTTAAAAAAATATATAAAAGTTCTATATTTTTTATTTTTTAGAGTTTTTTGAAGTCGGTTCTATTAAAAATTTTTTTTTATTTTATACTTTTTTTAAGGAAAGAAGCTTCCTCACCGATTTGGCTAAAATTTTAATTTTGTGTATTTTGGTGCGTAAAACATGAATAAATCTATAAGTTAAAATTGTCGTTCTCAATTAGATAAAAAATTATTAAGTACTAAAATTAATAGTTGCGTGGTTAGAGTGTCTATCATACTGACATGATATAGACGTACATGATCATGCGTAATGACGTAAAAGTACATGAAATTACAGTAATAATACAATATAACGGCAACCTGTCCTATAATAGTCTGACGCCTTGCACAATAGGCGATAGCGATGATGATAGTGACAGCGACAAAGTTGCCAACAAAGGTATAGCTTTGTCGGCAATTTTATCGTTGTCACTATCGCCTATTGTGCAAAGGGCTTTACTTCAATTATATGCTATTATTATACTTTGTATTTATGTAAACTTTTCAATGTATCAATTATTTTCTGCTTTAAAGAAAGCATAAACTCTATTTCTACTATCTTTTTTATCTATATAGTTAAGAAAGATTAATTTCTTTAAAAAAAAGGTATATATATATATATATATATATATATATATATATATATACCT